CCACCAGCAAACCGTCCGTCCTCTTCCCTCCTCCCCTGCCCCCCTCGCTGCCCTAGTACACCCCTCATCCCAGTGTCCCCAGGTTTCCCCAGACCCGTGGAATTTTGGCTGCCTGAGACCAGTGTCCTCCTGCCCGCCCCCGCCAGGTCTGATGTCTTGTTCAGTCTGGTACCCCCAGCTCCCAGCTCTCCCCTTTGCTCCGCCAGCTTCCTCAGCCTGATATTCTCTAGCTCTTCCGGGCCGGTGCCCCTCCAGCCCCGTGCCCCCCTCCAGCCCGGTGTCCTTCAGAACCTCACGTTTTCTGCCTCAGCCCGGGAGTCGCCGCCCCAGCCCGATATCCACCCCTCCCCAGCTTGAAGTCTTCTCTTAGCTCAGTGCCTCCCTAGCCCAGTGTCGCATCCATCCTACTCCCACCTCAGCCCGAGTAGCAGCAGATTCGAGTGGTTGGAGAAGAGGGTTTATTGGAAATACTGGGTGGGAAGAGGCACTGGCAGGTCCTGCCAGCCAAAGCCACCGGACACAACCAGACAAGGCAGGTCCTGGCTCCTCCATGGGTGGGTGCTGGAGTCAACGCTGGTGTAACTGAGTCCCACACCATGGAGGGGACAGCCATTGCTTAGCACCGGCACGGAGCTATAGTTCCATCCTGGTGCCAGGCACTGTGTCTGTCCCCTTGGTGGCTGCCTGCTCCCTGCCCGTAGCTGGCAATGGCTTTAAGCTATAGCGGGCACTGATGTTGGTACCTGAGACGCTGCGGTACTCGCCCATCTCCGTGCGGACATTCTCGTTCTGGGTGATGGTGAGCAGGACTGGGACGGAGAGCGTCACCTCCTTCCGAAGGACTTGGATGCTGAGTGCTGTGCGTGGGGGGATCTTCGCCGGCAGCTGCACCTCCACGCGCTGCCGGCGAATGCTGGTTTCGCTGCGCCCTTTCTGCACCGTAAAGATGTTGGAGGCTTCCACGGTCAGCGTGAAGGAGAGTCCGGCTTTGAGGCTGGTGGCATTGCTGAAGTGGAAGCTCTGCCAGAGTGTGGTGCCGTACTCCCGGCTGCTGCTGGCTGCCAGCGCCTGCTCCGACTCTGTCTCGTTCACCCCCTCAATCTCATCCACCAGCACCTCCCGCTCCTCCTCCACCCGCTTCTGTTCCCAAAGGAGACGTGCTGAGACCAGGGGCCGCCCGGGCCGTAGCGGGCGCAGGTGGGACAGCCGAGACTGAAAGTTCAGCTCCAGTTTGTAGTCAGCGAGATGCTCGCCAGGCCATGCCAGGCAGTGCCAGCCGCCCCGGCCGGGATGCTGGTAGAGCAGCCAGACGCCTCGCTGCACCATGTGGGAGGCCACCCGGTCATTGAAGTACCCATACGCCAAGTTGGTCTCCTCTGTCACCACCTTGCAGGCACCTTGGAAGTTAGGGTGCTCGTAGAGGGTGATCTGGGGGTCCCCCAGGTCATGGTGCACGAGGCGCAGTGCCGAAAAGCTGTTGGGCCAATCCACAGAGGCGTACTCGCCCTCCTCGAAGGCATACGACTCCCCCTCATATTTGGGGTCCGTGTAGGCAATCCATGGCTGCCCCTCCACCTTCAAAGAGGCGATGCAGTTCCCAAAATCCAGCTCATGCAGGTCAGGCACGTCGCATGTGAACTCGCGGCTCAGCCCCTCAAAGTTGGCACGCTCGTACACCGTGATCCGGTTCATGGTGCTGTGGGTGCCTGCCCCTGTGAGGGCACAACGTGGGCCACGTCCCCTCCTGTGGGGTCACGCCGGTGCTACAGGAGACCCGTGAGAAAAGCCCAGCCAGCAAAGGCAAACCTCGGCGCCCCTTTAGCCCTTGCCCTCTGCCTTTCCTTTGCCCACCTCCGCCTGGTCCCCGTGCTCTCACCGTCTGCGCTGGCAACACCCCGCAGCTGAGCCTTTTAGGAAGGGCTGGTGGGACCAGGGCGTGCTGCGTCACGAAGCGAAGGCGATGACAGTGCTCGCCCCCACGCTCTGCACCCAACCGTGTCCCCACTTTGGTGCTGGGGAGCCAGGCAGGCCCCACACGGCAGTCGACGCACCGGGATGCCAGCCGGTCCCACAGACCAGCCCTGCCGGAAAGTCCTGCCGAGCCCCAGGCAGGTGAGACTGTGCTGAAGAGTCACTGCCAATTATCAGTGATGCTTCCGCCCTGCCCCTGCTAATTACAGCGTGCATTGCCGGTGGGGCAGGAACTGCTGGCTCACCCCACTAGGGTGAAAGGTTATCGTGGTGGGGCACCCCAAAACAAAAGCCTCCTGGTGATCCCAGCAATTGGATATGAACACCTGGCATGGTGCAACTGCTCCGGCTCTGTCTCTGAGGATGGCTGGGGCAGACGGGGACACTTCTTCCCCCTTTGTCATTTCATGGGGGGCCAAGGCACTGCTGGGATGGGACGCTGGGCACAGCAGGACACTGACATCAAATCAAGGCATTGGAAGGCAGCCACTCCAAGCACAGCATGCTGGTAGTTTCCTCCAGGCTCCATGCAGGTTCCCATGGCACAAACTGGAGCTGGCACTCCTAGAGCTACTGGTGTGGGGCACAGGGCACGTGCACTCCCTAGCTGGCACCCCACTGAGACAGGGCTCAGGCAGCTCACGGGTTCTGGGGCACACTAAGCCTTTGACTTCTTCTGGCTACATGCCCATCCACTTGTCCACACAGCCCTCACCAGCCCAGGGCTGTTTCCAAGGCACAGTGCATGGAGTGGAGAGCCACAAAGCCGATATGAAAAGCTCCCAGTGCGGTACAGCTGGATCCTGACCCACCCCTTGGGGACAGTCAGGACCTCAAAAGCCTCAACTATAATCTGCTTCTTGGGGCTGATAAGCAAGGTCAGCCCTGGCTGCACAGGGTCCCCCAGATCCACAGGGGTTTGGTACAGCCTGTGGGCACTCACATCCTGTGATGGAGAAGGATGGAGACCCCATTGCTTCAACAGCAAGTCACCCAAGAGAGGAACCCAAGTATCCCTGAATTCTTGAAGCCCATTCTCTTCAAACCTCTGTCCCCCAAAGGCCAGTGCCACCCCACACCTCACCCCTCAGTTGTCCGCTGCTAGTGCCCCACTTCCCCTGCCTGCAGTGCCAGGACTGCCAGGGTCTCCCAGTTTATTGCCAGATGTCGGGGCGGTTGGGGTTACACCAGACAAACGCTACGGGAAGCAGTTAGTGAGTGGGGGGCCATGGGGGCCACGGGCAGGGGCCAGGGAAGGGCTGTCCCACTCAC